GTGTTCATTAGCCAACCGCACCAGCCGCCAGTATTCCACGGCGACTCGTACGAGGATGTTGAAGATTGGTTGGACCTGTTCGAGAGAGTGGCGAGCTTGAATGGATGGGACGAAAGAGAGAAGCTCCGTCACGTATACTTCGCCCTGGAAGACTTCGCAAAGACATGGTTTGAGAATCATGAAACCTCGTTGTCTACCTGGGAGGTATTTCGACGACAAGCGGTGGCTACATTCGCGAACATAGACGGGAAAGAAAAGGCGAAGGCTGCTCTTCAATCGAGGAACCAGCTCACGAACGAGAGTGCTGCTATGTACATTGAGGACATAGTCCGTCTGTTTAAGCGTGCGGATTACAACATGGCTGAGGATAAGAAGGTGCGCCATCTAATGCGCAGAGTGAAGCAAGAGCTGTTCGCCGTTCTCGTCCGCAACCCTCCAAGCACAGTTGCTGAGTTTTACTCGGAAGCGACGGCCATCGAAAAAACACTGGAACAGCGGGCTCGGCAGTAAAACCGGAATCTTAACTGCGCATCTGCACAGGTATTCTCCGGAGGCGTGCGAAACGACGTTGAAGCCCTACGAGAGCTCATTACATCAGTTATTAGGGAAGAACTGAGCAGACTGCAAATGCCCCAGACTCCAACTGCACTATCTGTTACGGACGTTGTTCGTGACGAACTGAGGCAGGTGATATGGGAGCCAGAGTGTGAGCTGCAGCCGGTTCGACCTATCCGAACATACTCTAAGGTTGTCAGACAACCCACGGTACACAGCAATGCAGCAGTTGCGACGACTCCTCTCCCACCTGCAGCACGCAGCGCACCTCGTTCCCGGGAACCAACAGCTACCTATCAGCCCCCAGGTGCACGTAGCACACATCACTATGTGGAGCGTAGGCCCAGGAAAAGTGACGTCTGGCGTGATCACGAGCGCAGGCCTCTGTGTTTTCATTGTGGGGAAGCAGGTCATCTGTACAGATTCTGTCCTTACCGACAGACTGGATTAAGAGGCTTCCCGTCGTATGCACCGTGCCCCCGAAACGGCGAACGACCAGCGGAGATTGAGGAGTACTTGTCCACGCGCCAGAACTCGCTACCTCTACGCCAACACCAGTCATGGTCACCATCGCCTATGCGCTACCGGTCATCCAGCCCACGTGCACCTTCAAGGCAGCCTGGTCATCGCTCTCCAAGTCCACACCCGGACAACTGAAGCAAGCGACCTGTGAAGGTGAGGCCGCTGATAACGTCAGTTACGAAGATCCTCCAATATGGTTTGAGGGTGATGACGGTGTATTTCCGGTAGATGGGTGCAGCAACGAAAACGTTACTTCAGATTTGCGGTTGAGAATGGAAGGATGAGAGCTGAATGCCTTAGTCGACACCGGTGCTGATTATTCAGTGATAAGTCACAAGATGGTGGAAAAGCTAAACAAAGTTGTGACACAGTGGAGTGGATTGCAGATACGCACGGCAGGCGGTCACATTATTACGCCCCTTGGCAGATGTACTGCAAGACTTGAAATACGGGGCTTTATTTACGTGGCCGATTTCATTGTGCTGCCAGAATGTTCAAGGGAACTCATTATAGGAATGGATTTTTTGCGAGCTAATGGCGCCGTAATTAACCTGCATAGGTCTAGCGTGTCGTTTTCGACCGAACGAGCTATACCTGTGGAGGAATCTGAGGAACGACGCCTAACTGCTCTACGCGTTGTTCATGATGACGTAACTGTGCCGCCACGCTGCAGTATAATGGTGCTCGTAGAAAATGACGCATTGTACAACCGCGAAGGCATAGCGGATACAAATGTAGGGCTGTTTTTGAACAAAGGTGTCTGCGTAGCTAGGGGTCTTGCTCACTTGACGAATGGCCGTGCAGATGTCCTACTCACAAATTTCTCCAATGAACACATCGCTCAAGGCACGGCTATTGCCTATTTACACGACTTCTGTATGGCGACTGAACTATGCAGCTTAACGATGTCAACCACTCGACCAGTGGCCTGCAACATCGACACATCCATGACCGTCAACCAGAGCCTTCCGGAGAGTCAAAAGAAACAGATTTACGCCTTGGTAAAAGAGTTCTCTGAATGCTTTCCAACTGACTCGAAGGTCCAGCGCACGCCAATCACAAAACACAGAATTATAACGCAAGACGACACGAGGCCTTATATGCCAGCATCTATATCGGGTGTCACAGAAAGAACGGGAAATTATCAAGAAGCAAGTGGAGGAGATGCTTTCGGATGATGTCATCCAGCCTTCGAATAGTCCATGGGCGTCCCCCGTAGTGCTCGTTAAGAAGAAAGACAACACACTTAGATTCTGTGTCGACTACAGAAAACTGAACAGTGTAACTAAATGAGATGTCTACCCCTTGCCACGTATCGACGATACACTAGATCGGTTGCGATCCGCAAAGTTTTTCTCCTCCTTAGATCTGAAAAGCGGATATTGGCAAATAGAGGTCGACGAGCGAGACCGTGAAAAATCGGCATTCGTAACAATATTAGTGATCTAACTTCTTCAATAACTTCTAACATACATCTGTTCGCAGATGACTGTTATTTACCGCGAAATTACCAATGTTGATGATACTAAAACACTTCAAACCGACCTAAATAATATAGCTAATTGGTGTAATATCTGGTTAATGGAACGTAATATTAAGAAATGTAAGATAATGTACGTATCAAGAACTAACTCGAATCATAACACCTACCACCTAAACAAGGTTCTCTTAGATTCCATCTTGTCTTATAAATATCTTGGCGTGCACATCACAAATAACTTAAGTTGGACAACTCATGTAGAGTATGTGATTAACAATGCTAATTGCATGCTCAGCTACTTACGACGTAACTTCTCCAAAGCACCCTCTTCCTTGAAACTAGTACTCTATAAGTCTCTCATATGCCCCAAACTCGAATATGCATCCGCCATATGGGATCCCAGTCATGCTAATCTCATCACCTCTCTTGGACTAGTACAAAATAACTCTGCTAGGTTCATCCTCTCTAACTACAACTGCACCGCAAGTATGACTTCAATGAAAAATAATTTATCACTTATTCCATTGGCTCACCGACGAAAAATCGCCCGTCTTTCACTGTTTCATGAAATTTTCTATCACCCTACACTTCATAATGACCTGATACTCCAGCCTCTGTACATCTCAGACCGTTTTGATCATCGCAGTAAGGTAGTAATCGCATCATGTCACACTAGGTCTTTTTTTCAGTCATTTATTCCCCGCACATCTCATGATTGGAACCGCCTTCCCTCGAATGTCGCAACCATCACTGATTTCAAACTTTTTCACGAAACATTAGCTAACATTATATAACCAAGGAAATCTGTTACCTATGCTTATTGCTTCTGTTTTTGTATATTTGGAAATAACAATTTTTATACATTCTGCTGAAATGGTCATATTATTTGTCTTGTATTGTTTTATTTGTATTTATTGTATTGTTTTATTTGTGTTTATTACACTGTTTTATTTGTATTTTTCATGTATTTACCCACTCCCCTCCTTAATGACTTTTTGGCCCTGAGGGTATTATAAATAAATAAATAAACCAGGGCCCGCGCTTGGCTCAGGCCGAAAAATCAGGCCCGTGCAGTGCTCTAGTGTAAGTATGCATAGTGTGCTACCCGAGAATGCTGCTGGGTAACTGTGCAAGATATTACATATATATTAAGTAATCGTGCTTGAAATCACATAAATTTTCAGTGGATTATAAGAAATGTCGTGAAAGAATTTGGCTTTAATTTTCACGGGCATATGTTGACCTCAGCCTAACGTGCGGCAAAAAGTGTTACCTTTTTTTTTTATTCATCTCCGATCAGAAATCTGCCCAATAAGTGAGAATCTTATCTGTGACCTCACGCACAGCCGCTCAATACTACGCTGCCGCCAATTGTGTACCTCGTTGAAAACTAAGTTGCACATGCCGCGATATAAATAGAGTAAATTTACATCCATGCCATCCAAATATTTCTCAAAGTGCCAGTCATTGTGTGCATGCAAGACGTTTGCTTTCAAAGAGAACATTATTTTTCTATAGCTTTCATCTGCGATCAGCAAGTTTCCACATGTTAACCTAACAGAATCGTGCACTATAGGCAGAGACCCTTGCTTTTAAAAGTTATGACTTTAGAGAACATAGCAAAGCAGAAGTTTCTGAACAAGTACAAACACACACAGCTCTGCTATGCAGAAAGATGCCGCTGGCAAAACGCAGGGGCTGGTTGGCAAAGATGCCAACCAGCCCCTGCTCCGAAGAAGGGTATGGTGGGTGGGGTGCTCGCAGTGACGTCGCACTGTTTGGAAACAGGGAGAGGTCTATTGTGCAGCGCCAATTCTTATTCTCTGAAAGGAGTGACACCAACATGTTTGTGCTTGTCCATCAGCAAAGGCAGTTGGGCCAGCTGTTCCGCATTCCAAAATGACAAGGCACCCCAAGGCATCGTGAATGGCACAACTGCTCACGTAGCACGTACAAATTAAAGTGGTGGCTGTCACAGGGCTTGAGCACGCCATTCACCACTTGTGACTGTCTGATCCAACGTTCTTAAAAACACTTTGAGTGCAAATACAATAAGAGCAAGGATTTAGCCTGGCAAGACACTGCTCTGTTGTCTACTTGCTCTCATGTTCATGTGGTTTTTTTAAAGATAATAATCTGTCTGAATAACATTGCATTGTGTGTTTCAATGTGGAGTTGCTAGTTGCAGAGGTTAAAAAAAAGAAAGTCGGGAAATTCATGACTTTCCAGTGACTGAAAAGGATGTTGTTTCTGCTTGTAGAACCTTGGCTTTCATGTGGGTTGAAATGTTGGCTGGAAAATTTCAGTTTGGTGTTTATTTGAGCATTTGCACTGAGCTCAGGCCCTGGGATGTCCGGGTTAGGAAAGCACACCAAGTGCTGTTCTTGGGAGGTGTTCTTGTTACAGGCACATGGGTTAACAGCATGACTTGCTCTTTCCACAGCTTCAATGGAGTGGAGTCTCACACCTGTCGGTCAACTGCCTGGATTCCCTGCAGACAGACTTGACCTAAACCTGGACTTTAAGGAGCTAAGACCAGTTAAGGAGCTAAGACCAGTTGGTGCTGCTAGGTTGGAAGACACTGGGTCAGTACAGCACCGACTTTGCTCGTGGAAAAGGCATACACGTGTTTGCTAAACATAGCTGTGGCAGCTTTTTCATTTACACAGCGCTGTTTTTCGTCATTCCTCCTATTTTGTGTAACACCTAGAGTTGCTTGCAAGAGCTAGCAGACAATCGCACCAAGGTTAGTTGGGGATGTTATTAGCAGTAATTGTATTGCACAAACAAAGGTGGACGAAATTATGACTGCGACCTTCGAATAACTTGTCCGATGCTCTACCATCTGAGCACCGGTCATCTCGACGGCTTTATGGGGTGTATACCTTATTTACTCGCGTAATGAACCCACTATTCACCTTGGTCCTTGAAAAAAGAAAAAAAAGTTATGGTTTTTAATGTATTAGTTCATTTTATTTCGGTGTGATAGGCAGTGCCGTTGCCGATTGAAACATAAAGCCGTGATATTACAAGATAATGACGCAGTAAAAGCTATAACGATAATGATGCAGTAAAAGTTCTAACATAGTTTTGCAACTATGGTAAACAGTTGCAAGCACCGCGAGCATGGATGATATCAATTAAAATTTAAAAGTCGCACATTTCATGGCAGAGCGCCATCTGTTAAACGGAGGAGAAACCTCATTACTTATAGCGCCACGCAAGCACAGCGGCACAAAAACGAAGCAAGAACCAAAGCCTTTGAGATGGCGGGTGCGCAGCGTAAAAACATGCCACGCATTCGCCATCTCGGAGGCCATACAATGTGCTTCCACAACCATCACGCCAACAGCGTGTTGTCCGCAATTTCTGTGCGCCACAATCCAATGCTCCATTCAGGGCGCGTTCGACCGATACGCTAGCTACACGGCTGGTTTTAAACCCTAATGTTGGTCGAGCATGGGTGCGTGGCTGCATGACACTTCAGCGTCGCAATGCGTGCGCATTTGTTGCAGGAGAAAACAAAAAGAGCTTCGAGCTAAGAAGATTTGTCGAGCATTTCGTGGGCCAAAACATGCAAAAGCGTCAGGCAAAATTTTCGCTGTCACTACGCGGGAGAAAAAAGTCACTCTCGTGATTTTTCGAATCCAATGTGCATCTTTCTACCAATAAATAAAGTCTCGATATTGCCTGCATATGAAAACGAAACTGAACCCGCGTTGTTAACCGCTTTCATCAGAAGAGTCTGACAGTGTCGGACATCGCTATCAAATAATGGCGACAGACCACGAATTCACGTAAAATGCGTTCAAGCGTTTCGTGCACTACTGAGCTGTGCGCGTTGTAATTTGTTGCCTTGTGAAGTGCAACTCGTGATGTCCTGCTCTTATTATTAACGTTGATGTCAAGTTGAGGTAATTTTGCATGGTGATAACAGCTGCTTCGCACCCTTATGCGTGCGTAAGCTTGTGACTGCGGGTGCGACAAAGACAGGAGATCTGCTGTATGTCAACCAGGAATAGTTCCCACGAACCGGAAATGTGAAAATACCAGCTTTTCTGCCGGCTGAAGCTACTCTGTGTAGATAGAGCTTGACTAGGTAACAGCCCCGGATACGTATGCATGCGATAAAGGCGTATCTAGAAGCGCATGAACTTCCACGAGAATCAATTTTAAGACATCCTGTCTCTCTGCTTTTATAATCGTCAACCGGGGGAACGCAAGTTCATATTTCGCACTCGTGAATATTTGACAGTTGATTCGAGTAGAGGTGTTTTTTTCTTTTGGATGGAATCTGAAAGCCATTGTGATATGCGGTGTCGACATTAAACTACGTTGCATAGCCAAGGCTTTTTCTATGACGATTTCTATGGAGATTTTGCTGGGACCAAACAGATTCGTTGCAAAATGTGGGTTGTTGTGGAATTAGGGGTTGGTAATTGAAGTTCCACTTATGTGCATTTAAACGTGGGAGTGTCAGTCAACGTCGCTAGTAGCCATGACTGCACGTGTGCAACACTTTTTCTTTTTTGCCTGTTTGCATCACATATATGTTCTGTTATGTGATGTGATGGTCTGCAATTTATGACACTCAGTAGTGCTGTCCAGTCGTAGTCTAGCTGTGTGATATTTTCATCCTTCATGCTGCTGTCTGAAGGATTTGTTGCAGCATGCCTTTTTGTGAATTTACAGTGTGCAAGCCAGGATTTTTTTCACTCTAGTTTCTCTACGTTACTGTTACTTATCATTCAAGACCTTATATACCTCAAAGGGGTGCTGACACGAAAATTTTCAATTGTAGTTTTCTTGCACCGAATGAAAGGGCATGCCCTCGGAACCCTACAAAATGCACTGCAAAGTGTGACTGCATCTTGAAACATTGAAGGCTTCCTACTGTACATCACAACACGGTACAAGCTTCTCGCCCCCCGAAAGATGTCATGGTTCGCCATTTGGCACCGTGGATTCGTTAGTACCTGGCATCATAACAATTAGCTAGATTGCTACTAGAAATCATGGGAATTAGTACTTTTGCCAGACATCAAGCCAGTATCAATGTCGGCTGGTGCATTGTAATATTTACTTTAGCTTCAAAGTGAAATACCTTACCAGCATTAACTGAGGTTCACACTTACTCAGAGATTTTTGTGACGGAGTAAACTCGACTTTTGAAAATTGGTTTTGGTACCTCTTTTAATGCTCAGACCGTATTCTATATTTCACTGCTGTCTTTATCTTATGACATCTTTGTGGTTGCAAGATGTTTTTATGGAATTTTTATCTTATGTTATTTCTGGTATTATTTCACATTAAAGGGCATGCTCAGCAAAAATATTGCAAAAATCTTGTTTTCTTTTTACCCAATTTGAAAACTGCAGCCTTTTATGAACAAGAATCAGGCATTTGTTTGTTCTAGCAGGACTTTTTTCTGTCTAAAAATCACCTCCTTTAGGTACCCTGCAGCTGACTGCACACGTGGGGAGCTAAAAATGCAGCCGAAATGAAGGGCACTAATTTTTCGACTAATTTAGTGAGAATGATACTTGGTCTGGCAACAAGTGCTTCATCAGCTGAGTCAATGTTTAGCCGCCAGTAGAAATACTTTGCAGGCGTTTTTTGTACGTGTTGTCTGTGCGCGTTGTTCGCAGAGCTCCAAAATCAAAAGTATGGTTTAGCCTTTAGAAGAAATATAGGCAGGCCAGAGGACATGCGGAAGGCTGCCTGGGCCACATAGTATTTTCACATGGCATCAACAGATACCAATCCATCCCACGTCCTTTGCCCAAACCACACTGATACCTGGTGCAAATTCAGCAAAACCCAGTTCAGTGGGGAATTATAGGTTCACGAAGAACACCTTCCGGCATCTGTACTAGATGCAATCAAGCCAATTTATAAGCAACTTGCTTATCCCAAATTAATTGCGCAATGCCTCCATGGCAATACTCAAAACCCCAACGAGTTGTTCAACAATGTTGTGTGGCAGTGCGCTGCTAAAAACTGGTTTCTCGGACACCTCACACTGAAGATATGCACTCTTGACTCTAATCACCTTTAGTGATGGCAATATAGCTCGTTAGAGTGTGCTGAAGTCATTTAGAATTTCGCCCGGTCACTACACAGTGCGGGGCCTACGCGCACTTGACATGCGTCGACAGTACTTTGCTGACAGGTCAGCGAAGCAGGTGACAAAAGAGGTCCACTAGGCCAGATGCCTCAATTTTAAAAAAATGAGTACATGGCTGCTGCCTATTATAAATATCTTTTAATTGGTGATTATTTCATAGTCTTTTTAAAATACAGCATATTTTTCACTTTAAATGTGATTAGCTCAAAACATGCTTTTTTTGTACTAATGTACCCTTTTCTCAGCAACCACTGTATCTAAAAACATAGATTTTAGCCAGTATTTAGAGAACATGCTAGAAAAAAAAAGTTCTGAAGCAGAATTATTCTTGTGTGAGGAAGCACTTCCTTTTAACACAGTATCTAATACAGATTAACGGGTGATAATTGGGTACCTCAAGTTAAAAAAAAAAATAGAAAAAATTAGCAATAAAAGTTTCACGAATAATTCTGCTTCAGTAAGAATAGGAATGGCTTATGATCACAATGATAGTAAAATAATTACCGTAATTTTTATGGTTATGGAGAAAAAGGTACACAAGGTTGGCCTAAAATACATTGCAGGTATAGGCCGTACCCTGTTCTCTTAATATATTTCATAGTCACGTTTCATGTACCATTCTATGTTATGTTATCATATGTAGGATCTGAGATAATGTTTTTTTTTCTTCAAATTCAGCTTACATCCATGCCATTCGATGAAGTGTAGGGTTGTGTGCACCTGAACAAGTTTACTGATAAATATAGTGTTATACTTTGAACTACTCTCATCCATACAGGATATTGTAACGTAATGCTTGGTTTACATGAACAATTTTACCATTAAAAATTGCATTTTACATAAAAGAGCTTGTGCAATGTCTATTGGTGTTTGATAGCACTGCTTAACTTGAATGCATCCACGTTGCCGCTTAGTCATACATTTCGATCCTGACCACTAACGTCCATCATTAATTATTGAACAAGCCCTTGTGGTCATAGATTCTTGTGGTAGTTAACAGTGAGAGTGGAACCAGAGAAAGTGTTGTGACTGATTGGATGCCAAACTTGATCTAAGATTGCCTACTTGCAGCATTTTCGTGTTAAACACCTCTGCGCGTCGAGAGGGAAACGCAACGCACATTGCGTCTCCGTTTGGTCGGCCGCAAATGTTCAAGAAGGGAGCGTACATGGGGAACACGCAGTTAAAAGCTAGACGAAGTCGGTGCCCGTCACATAACTCTTTGGTATGGATGGATGCTATGACGCCTGGGGTAAAGGCCACCACCTGGCGGTGTGTTAAGGCGTTGACAAAATTGCACTTCTCCTATGAAACATGCCGAATGGGACGGACACATAGAAAGGACGCGTTGAAGGAACTAATGACTGATATCATGGTAATGATGCATTACTGCACTTTACTAAGAACGCTGTTAGAGGACAGTGCTAGATATAAAAGGTGTATTTTTTCAAGTATACA